GAGAGAGAGAGAGAGAGAGAGAGAGAGAGAGAGAGAGAGAGAGAGAGAGAGAGAGAGAGAGAGAGAGGTCAAATAAAAGGAGGGGCATCCATAGCTGGTCTAGTGGACTTCGGCTGATGGGGGCGACTACTGCGACCGTAAGTGGTGATGATTGTCTGGCCCTGGGCGACACGAGGGGATGTATGGGCCAACTGGCTCTAGAGAATGTTGTGGCGCTGAGCACTGATTAGTGATTGATTTGTCATGGCACACTGCAGACGTGTGGTAATCGATATCTTCGCCACCTCCTTTAGTTAGTGACCGCCGACGAGCAACTCTGTCTTGAAGTGATTGGCCTTGCTTTCATCTTTTCCCTCTCCTTTCTCTGTCCCTTGTGATTAATGAATGGCAGGCAGTAAGCACCTCTGGCTCTAACTGAAAGCCCAAGAAGGAGGGCGCCTTTAGGTACTCAATCACTCTTAAATTTCCGATTTATTTATTTATTTATTTGCTTAAGCCTCAAAGCCCAATCCGTGATTGATCAGTTCCCGGCAGCATGCGACCCTGACTCAAAGTGAAAGCCCACAGAGGGAGAAGACATCTCACTGGCCGTTTACCATTGCATTGGGTGATCGAGCCCCAAAGCCCAACCCTGTGATTCATCAGTGGCGGCCAGCACTGTGGAGGGGCGGTTGCCTCTCGCTGCCCAATCAGTAGCATTATAATGCCATTATTTATTTATTTATTTTTGTACTTATTTATTGCTTGTGATTGAGCAATTGACTAAGACGATGGGTATGGAAGCCATGAGGATGAGAGGTCAAATTTGACGCTGCTCAGCATAACGCAAAGCCGTGTCATCATATTTGTCCTATCTAATGTTCGCAGTGTCTGATTACCACCCACGCACATGGAATGCAGTGTTCTCACACAAGCACGTAAGACCTGCAGCAAAATACTGGAGAGCCATGATGATCCATCTACAGATGCTGTGACCGACTCAGCAGGTACCCTCCATCCAGTGGCTATCTTTTTTGTTGTTGTTTCTTGAAAAGAACAGATCTATTCAGCTGCTTGGGGACGGCAATAAACACTGGAACATGTGTTCACAATTACGGCTTGAATTACCTTAAGCTTTTTATTTATTTTTTAATTAAAATTAGCCTTCCTGACGTCTGCTCAAACTGCAACCATACGGTGAGGGGTTTAGCATGCCCACTGTGAAGGAATGAAATGCACCCTTACCCTTGTTTTTTCCTTTGAACACCAGTACCCCCTGAAGCCCGTTTTTGCAAATGTACCCCGCACACCTGCCCTAAAGGACCATGCTATAAACCGGGCCTGTCAGAGACGAAGCGCGAGGATGGATCTGACTTCATTCTTCTATCCATGTATTGTCCTTCAGCAGCTCTACTTCCCTACTGCACGGATCTGAGTGTGGCCTGCCTTGTAACAGGCAAGCGGTAAAAAAGGGGTCCTCAAAAAGAACACGACTCGAGGTTCAAACTTCAAAGGGAAAAGGTGGGGAACCAGGACACGCCATGAAAAAAAAAAAAAAAAAACTTTAGAAAAGTGATTTCCAAGTTTCAATAAAAAAATGTTATTAATTTTTAACCTCCTATGTTTCTAACCTTCAAGGCTTTGACATCAAAATCGGAAAAAACTTTGGAAAAGCAGCACTCACTCACGTCTGTGCATTGGCCAGAAGTGGGAATGGCTCGAGCAGTGGACACAGATGCAGTACTCCAACCGCCATGGATGAGCCTGTGTCATCAACTGCTTTCCTCTCAACTAGACCATCAGCGCTAGCACAGGCCTCACCATCTGCAGTAATTGTGCCTGTGGGAGTGGGACCTGTAATGTCTGATCCGATCTTCACAAATTTCTCCACCCATGAGACCTGCATCCACAGTACAGGGGCCAGCTTAGCAAACTGCGGACCTGTCTGGAAGATGTGCTGCTATCGTACAAATGGGCTACCCAATCAACAAGGGCCATGCCTGACTGGTGTAATCAAACATCTCTAACAGTTATTCTCGTTTGCAGGTTGTAAAGGTGCTTTTCTTCCAGTTTTTTCTTAAGACAAAGGAAGACAAGCCATAACTACAACGAAAGCCCTAAACATGGACTGACACAATGCAAAACCTCCGCATCAAAGAACATGATGCCCTCTAAAGTAGGTAGTTGCCTAAACCATTCATCTAGTTTAAACAATTGACTTGCCAGTGGGCACACAACTACAACTCTACTTTGCTCACTTCTCACAAACACCAAATTGGAGAAGCACACTTTGATCAGTGTGTGATGACAGTCCCCGTCTCTCCCACATCACTAATGATATTAATGAAACAATTACACACACACACACACACACACACACACACACACACACACACACACACACACANGAGAGAGAGAGAGAGAGAGAGAGAGAGAGAGAGAGAGAGAGAGAGAGAGAGAGAGAGAGAGAGAGAGAGAGAGAAAGAGAGAGAGAGGTACTCCTGCAGGTTGGTCAACTGAAGTACAGTCTTCTCCACCAAGGGGAACTCTCCGTGCGTCCTTGTATTGGTGTGTTCTCCACCTTGTCACTCCTGCAGGTTGGTCAACTCATGTATAGTCTTCTATGAGCTCTTGTTTCTCAACAATTTTGTGCTCTCGCATGCTGGTTCCTTGCGTTACCCTCTTTTTGAAAAGAAATGAAGTAAAGAGGGTCTGATATAGTAGAGACTCTAGAGAGGTAAGAGAAGGAGATCGCATTTAAGAAGAATTTTCGAATTTGGAAAGAAAAGAACAAAGGAGGCGTGCCCTTTGGGAAGTCCATTAAAATTGGAACGATACAGAGAGGATTAGCATGTCCCCTGCAAAAGTCTGACACACATAAACTGAGAAATGGTCCAAAATCCTCCAAAAAAAAAAAAGAAAAAAAAAAGGACTTGACGAAGCAACAAACAGAAGAGAAGACAAGAGAAATGATTGATGCGGGAGCGTAATCTGACTGTGGTTGTACCAGTGGTCTGTCCTCATCCATTTGCAGCCAAGCCTGTACGCAAGACCCGGACCCAGACACCATCCATGCTGGACCCCGACCTGGGTCCGGATGTGTCATCCAGACATATAGACCTGGTCCACACAAGGCAGGTGCTGAAAGGAACCCCTCATGTCGTAGAAACATAGGCTTTGTGATTCTGTTTTCCTCGCATTTAGCTAAGAATTTCATAATTGCTATGAACCTTCCACCACTGAGCGCACACAATCACACACCATGCACAAATGAGATTACACGAAGATCACATTGGAGACCAGAGAGACCAAGACCAGGTAAGCGCAGCTTTAGAATTCCAACAAATTATCTTATGAGCAACTTCCGGTCCCAAACGCTCAACAGCACAGATCATACATGCGGCGCATCGCGATGCGCTGCATCGCGCATCACGCACTATGCGTGCGCACTGCATGTGGCGCACCTCTAAAACTGGGGGTCGAAAAAAAAGAAAAAAAGGTTGTGAAGGGCGGTAGTAGACCCGGCCCCCTGCTCGCGTAAAATAAGAAACGGGCAGCCAATTTTTTATTGGAGGCCGCGCGTTGGCCTGAAAGCTTTAAATTTAGTAAAACCTGTAGCCCGTGTAACACTCTGTGTGTATGGTAGGGTTCTTGCAGTCTGTATGGTAGGGTTCTTGCAGGCCAGATTCAGTCATGATGAGGGTCGCGATCTCTCAAAAGATTCGAAACGTTCGCTTCTTATTACTTCTGAAGTAGGAAACGACGGAACTGACAGCCCTTTTTCCTGGAGTTTTTTGCTAATAATAAAAAGAAAAGAACGTAAAGGAAGAAAATCAGAATGACTTACCTGTCGCCTGAATCCATCAGAAGAGGCACCAACTGTGAGAAAAGAGAATGAATCTTCAGCTAGAACATGGAAAGATACATCACCCTCGGTTTTCTCTTTTGATCATGTGGTGAGTGGTGGAGCGAAGCCCCGCCCGTCCAACCTGTTAGAGCCTCAACGGGACTATGCACCAACGGCCTCGCTGCACTGCTCTCGACATGCCAACAAGACAAATATGGCAATGTATCTTTCCATGTTCAAGCGGAGGATTCAATTTCATTTGTCCAGAGATTCTCCAAAAAAAAAGAAGAAGAAAGGTTCCAGAGATACGTTATGTGCTTACCTGAGGCTGACGCTAGCACTTCCAGAAATGTATCTGATGGCACTTACAGCCAGACTTGGACGATTCTGACCGCAATCACGTCCAGAGCTTAGTAGAAAAGGTCTGAGTGTACGGCATACTCACACTCAGACTTTTTCTACTAAGCTCTGGACGTGATTGCGGTCAGATTCGTCCAAGTCTCGGATGGCATACCTTCTACATCAGCACACACCGCCAAAACCATCCGTCGTGGATGCGTGCTTACGTCGAACGGATCTCTCTCTCTCTCTCTCTCTCTCTCTCTCTCTCTCTCTCTCTCTCTCTCTCTCTCTCTCTC